AAAACTACCTCACACTTATTTTTATGCTCAAACAAAACAGCAAACCTTTAGCCTGATATCTGCCTGACCATGCTAAAACGAGCAGGTATTTCAGCTGAAAGCCTTGATGGTGACCCAGATACCAGCGAGCCTCCGTCCAGCTTTATCAGAGTGGAGGCTGTAAAGTTTGTGGCCCTTCTGAGCGGTGTTGTCTTTTACCCATAGCTGCTTTAAACACTACTTCATGTCTGCTGCATTCATTTATACAGAAGTGAACAGACTCATAAAACGATGTCATGAACTGCTTAAAAAAAATAGCAACTCAGCGTGTTTCTAGCAGCCAGTAGGCCTGAACGATAATCACACCTGTCCGCTCACGCCCTTCATTCTGAAGACACACAGTCGAGAAGTGATCTCCTGTTTTTATGAGACAGAAGCTTTATCTATGAAAACACATTCACACTTTGCAGATGACGCCTCAATCAAACACCCCAACGATGACACGGAGCTCCATTCTCACTGTCTGGACAAGATATGTGGGATTATTTCTCAGGTCGGTGGCCCTGGATTGCAGAATATTTGCGTCTAACTCTGAGTCCATGTCTAGCTGCTCTCGGTCACCTCTCTAACCTCCTCCCTCCTTCCCCCGCCCGCCGCTGCCTCTCTACCTGTCCCGTGAGGCCCCAGTGCCGGTGTGGAGGTGCGCTGCTGGTTAATCTCCGGTTCAACCCAGGGTCTAGTGTTGCAGGGGGGGCATCCATTATTCAGCTGGTCTGAACAATAGAGGCCAGACTAGCTCCACAGCTGCTACGCAGCAGATAGATAAGACAGCACACCAAATTATTCATGATGGAGGAATGGAAGGACAGAGTGGAATGGAAGTTAAATGGGAGCCGATGAAATCATAGAGTTTCGACGGGACATGTGACCAAGAGAATGAATGTTTGTTAAAAGGGCTGATTGTCTGAATTGAATAAATGAAGGATAAGCGTCCGTAAGGGCTACTGATGAGCCTTCGAGTGGCTTGTAACCCAGCCACATACAATACCTTAACATGCAATAAACATGTGTCATGGAGTGGTTTATCAGTCTGATCAAATCACATCTTCAAAGCAGTGGTTTATAAAAATAATCTCTCGTCATCAGCGTCGACACACAATCGGGTTTCAGCTCCTCGCATGTAAAGGTTGAAAAAACAGTTTTATCATCTGAACTAAACTGCTCTTTGGTCTGTTGAACGTTAGCGAGTATTTGTGTCCGACCTAATTAGCCTCCTTTTTACAGACCGTCTTTGACAACATCATTTAGCTGAAACACTCGAGTTCACAACGTCTCTCTTCTATAAACCGATCAACTTTATGCAACACGGTTCTAGAGGAGTGTTGGTAGTCACTTGGTTACAGATTTGAACGCTGTGCCTCAACCTGCACAACACTCACTGTGTATTGTTTTAGGCTCAAGAGAGCTCACAATGTGAGTCATGATATGAAGCGGGGACCACTGAGGGAGCCATAAATTAGAATCAGCCGGGCATCAGGTGAAAGTTTTCCCAGGCGGGGCAATTTAAAGTGCCCATTTTGCTTGAATGTATACAGAGGAACTGCTGTGAGTGTGAGTGTGTGTGTGTGTGTGTGTTTAACTTTAAGGCTGTTTGTGTGTGTGCTCTATGTCCTGCATCACGGATCTGGAGAGGGGCAATCAGGTGGAGATAAGGCCATGAGGCGTTTGTGTGCTCAGACGGGAGCAGCACGGAACTGTCCATGAACTGCCAGCAACGTGCGCGCGCACACACACACTAACACACACACTAACACACACACCATATGGCACGGGCCAAACAATGGACAACCATATAGCATCTTGTCAGGTGCACCATGAAGCTGACAATGACTCCAAGTCGCTGGTGGGAAAAGTTGTACGTTGTCCTCTTTGAATGTAAAACAGAAATTAAAGTGCAACACAAATATAATATCAGCTGCAAAGCGTACACACAGATCATTTCAACGGATCACATTTTGGACGTGCAAACGTGTTCAGTTTTATAAGATTGGTTGCAGAAGCAGCTCCTTCTGAGCTACAGTTCATGTAAAACACACACTGTTTTCTAACACGGTTGCACAAACAGGGAGTGTCTTCCAGATGACTCGGTGTATTTCCTGTGAAACAACGGCCCTTGATTTCCTCGTCACCATTTTATTTACCCTCTTTTCCACATCTGACCTGGCTGCAGACTGTCCAGCTGTCATGCTGCAACCTGACATAACCTGTTCACATACTGACACGCTGTAAACTTACAGATGTAGCAGCACCACAGCCAGGAGGGTCCACTCTGGAGCTCTGTGGATGATGTTGGTGTTGGTGAACCTGTGAACGAAAACATCAGTGTTGAGCTACAAGGTGGTCACAGCTTAGAGAGACGTGTGTGTGTGTGTGTGTGTGTGTGTGAACAACCAGGTGTCAGGTGTCATAAAACACCTCATTCTGGTGATACGCGAACTAAGAAAACAAAATGTTTGCAGGGCCAGAGCCACCACGGTGATGTACGACCCTCTGACAGCGCCGGGTATACTCTTTGGTTTGAGCCTCTGGCCAGCGGGGCCTCTCGACGGCACAGAAAGAATTCCTGGAAGCAGGACTGGAGAAGTGTTGCTCTGCTGCCTGATGTGCTTCTAAATCACAGTCACAGTGATTTAATAGCAGTCGTGTTAAAAACATCTCAACCAGCCAATGGGAATATACGACATGTCTGAGACAGGAAATGCTCGACTCTTGCACCAGTTTAAGGCTTTTTAAAAAAAATTAAAGTAGTTCTATGCTTATCAGTCTTTTAAACGGAAGAGAAACTGACATGCCACGGTAATAAAAGCAGATGGAATGAACAATAAAATGAACAAAGGCCGATTTAGCTGCTTCACAGAAACCCCGAAATAAAAATGGACTTTAAAGATCTGTAGCTGATGAAACACCTTAAAAACTCATCTGTGTATCATCCATCCATCCATCCATTATCTATACACTGCTTAACCCTCACTAGGGTCATGGGGGGCGGAGCCTATCCCAGCTGACTCAGGGTGAAGGCAGGTTCACCTGGACAGGTACACTTAGAGACAGACAACCAACACTCACATTCACACCTACGGACAATTTAGAATCACCAATGAACCAACATGTTTTTGGACTGTGTGGGAGGAAGCCGGAGAACCCGGAGAGAACCCACGCTGCATGGGGAGAACATGGAGACTCCACGCAGAAAGATTCCGGTGCCCTTCTTGCTGCGAGGCAACAGTGCTACCAACTGCGCCACCCTGCAGCCCGGTCGTGAACATATTATACTTATTTTAACTTTCCACTCAGAAAACTCCAATACTTTTCAAATGTCAGTTAAGAAAACTACCTCACACTTATTTTTATGCTCAAACAAAACAGCAAACCTTTAGCCTGAAAGTCTGTCATCAGCACACTGCGGCTTCAAGGAGGAGATGATCAGACATGGTGTTGACTGTTTATGTCACTCGTCATGTGATTTACACCTTATAGACACAATAAAATCATACAGTTAGTCTTATCAATAACTCTTTTTTCTTTTCTGGGAATGTCAGGTCTAATTGTCTTCAGCCTGTGCAGATGTACATAATCCTTAACAAACATGTAGGACTGTACATGTCCCTGTCTGCTATATTTATGTCAGCAGATCGGACCAACACAAAGATATTTTCACGTCACAGCAGAAAACACGTTAATACGTTCACAACAGCTCGGTTACATAAATGTTTTCCAGTAAGACGGCGTGCTGAATATCAACGTCCTGGAACTGCCTAAATAGAATTTAATCTAATTTTCCTCTAATCACATTTGGACATGTCTGCAGACGGTTCCTGCTCTTGTCCTACTTCATATCTGCCTGTAGGGGGCACCAGAGCTTATCAAATCTTCCCACAGTGTTGTGGAGCTCAGATCAGTTAATTACCTGTTTCATGCTCAGATTTCTGTTAGAATGTTAGAAGCAGGAAGGTTTATAATCACAGTTTAGTGTAAATCCTCCTGACATGTGAGTTTCAGTCACCATGTGGCATTTATTTAACAGCTATTACCTTTATCGGGTGGAAATAAAGCCCAAATGTCATATGGATATGACAAATACTCAAACAGCCCTTTAGGAAAGCACACCTGATTCCATCCTAATCCATGAAGCTCGGTCTGCATGAGCCTGAATGTAAAAGGACGTCTCTACAAACTGCTGTTTAGCCACATGCAGCAATCAGTTGTTGCTACCGATGTGAACCCTCTCACTGTTTATTTCTTCCTCAAGATAAAAAAAGAATTAAAAAAACAGTCCATTTTTGCAGCGATTCTAAGTCCTTGTCTGCTTTACCAAATAAGACAGCGCAGGTGTGTCTGTGCGTGACCTTCGTGTCGGTAGACTCTCAGAGAAGAGTGGGAATGGCAGTCTGTGTGTATGTGTGTGTGTGTGTGTGTGTGTGTGTGTGTGTTGCACTGACCTGAATGTTCGGACCAGGTTGTTCAGGTCGGTGGAGACGTCGCTCACGGTGAGATGCAGGGGACCTACGATGTTCCTGAGGCTGAACACGGCAGGCACAGGTGACAGATGACAGACAGAGGAAGTCAGAAAGTTTCAGTCTGACTCTGGAAAAGCTGCCCATTAATTTACTGCGATGCCCTTTATGCAGGAGCGTCCAAGAAGACAATAGCTTGGCTGCAGCTCATCCAGAATCCTGCAGCCAAACCGCCAACTGGCCTAATTAGACCCCTCAGACCATGACACGTGTCTCCTGAATGTACCTGGAATTAAAACTAAATGAGCTGAGGGTGCTTTTTGTCCCCGTGCAGCTGTTCACTGAACAAACTGTCTGCTGACCTGAGATCTGCTGCGACTGTGTCTTTGTTTAAAAGCAGCCTTAAACTACTCTTTACTCTCAGTTTTTGGTAGTTAGTGTGCATGTGTCTGCCGTAATCGTATTTTGTATATGTGCTGTACAAGGGGCTGAATCTAATTTATGGGGATTAATTATGTTTCCTGTCTCATCTATTTAATGTATTTCTGTTTTGTAAAGTACATTCAGTGTGGCTGTTTATAAAATGTGCTATGCAGCAAAGCAGTGGGCTTTGTGAAAAACAAAATAAGTATTTTCACTGTACCAAACGATTAGCAGGTGAACTGATGATGAGAATGACTACTTAGAGCTGAGTTAGGTTCTCAGAGCCTCTGAAGCTGCTGTGGTTGGAGTCAGTCTGCTGGATTAAGTGACAGCTCACAACAGCACAAGAATAAACTCAAATGTCCATATAATACGAACACACGCACCAGCTGGTGAGCTTCTCCACCGTGATGCGCTTCTGAATGAGGTGCTGAGCTTGGGAGTCGATGAGTGGCAGAACTGGATCCTTCGTCCTCTGGTCCTGAACCGTCACCTGGTGCGAAGAACAAACAAGATTTATTGTGAGCGTTTAAACCTCCTCAGTGGTTGCATGTGATATTTTTAACAGCGTGCCCTCGTGTGAATGCCGACTCCTGCAGCGTGTCCTTTAACCCACAACCTGCCTCTCCTCCTGCCTCCACTCACCGGGTTTCCATTCACCTCCTGCACCTCCTCTGGCAGAACCCACGTCCCCTTATAAAACTCGCTGACCCGGAGCTCCAGCTGCTGGGTGTCCCTCTTCAGCGTCTCGTAGTCTGGAGCAGCAGCCGACAACTTCTTCTGTTCCCCGGCATCAATCACGTCATCCTCTAGATCATCTTCATCCAACTCATCCTCCACCTCCTCCTTTTCTTCTTGCACATCAACAAATGGAGAACCCAGCGAATGATCGGCACCATACAAAAACTTCAAGGTCTCGTCAGTGCACCATTCCTTCAGCGTTGCTCTCAGACCCTCGAGAAGATTCAGATGCAGCGTGTCAGGTTTGGCCTCACCAGCGTGGGTCTTCAGTAGATCTCGCAGCCCTGCCGCCCCTCTCTTGCTCATACCCACCTGGGTGATGTTGAGGCCTGCTTGGTTTGCTAATGCTGTGTTGTGGCTGTTCTGGTTAGCTGAAGAAGGGAAGCGTTTGCTTTCTGTTGGGGGTTTCGACTCTATAACTGAAGGCGAGGTGAGGGAAGGCGTGTGTTCTCCCTGCGGTGTTGATTCAACTGGCAGGGAGATGTTGTGATTGACCGTCTCGGATAAACTACACAGATTTAGTTTAGCCGTGGCCTCTTCCACACTGGCTTCATCAGGCAAGTCCTTCTGTTCCTTCACTGCCTGGTCAGTGTTTGTTCTATGCAGCTGCTTGGGTTTTTCAGCATCAGTTCTAACCTCTTTCCTTGTTTGTCCTTCCTTCTCTGTATTCTGTTGCTGATAAAGTTCCATCTCCTCTTTAGATCCCTTTCTGGCCTGTTTACTCCTCCTCTCCATGTCCCCTTGTGCCCCTTTCCCGTCTCCATCAGTGCGTTTAGGCAGGTCACCCCAGTGCACTCGGGGTCTCTGCTGCTGGGAGACCACACTGGAGACGAAGTCCTGCTCCTGTTCACCGTCGCTGCTGTCGCTGTGTTCGGCTGCAGCAGGACGCTGCTGGGAGGTGGAGAGGTCCTCGGGCTGAGCAGCCAGCGGGTTCTCGATGTCTTCCTCTTTCAGACACCTCTCTGACAGCTTCACCTCCTCCCCAGAGCTCCCACTGCACACACACACACATGTAACACTGAATTAGTCTGTTTATCATTACGCCTGTACATCTAAACCTATAAACAGTGACGCGAGCTACATACGTACCAGTCTCCTTTCTTCAACAGCTTAATCTCTGGAGGACTGCCAGCGACCAAAACAAACACAACATTATTATAGTTGACAGTAAGTTGACAGTTGTGATTCAGGACAGAGGTGACAGGAAGCACACTCACCTCTCATGCTGCCTGAGCCACAGCGGCGTCTTTGATATCTGCAACTCAAACTCTTTGGAGGCTTTATAGCAGAAGTTACTGCAGAAACACTGAACGCACAGAAAAGAACACGTCAGGACTGATTATTTACACATGCTTTGGTCACTGTATGAAACATTTCTCATGCAGGAGCGCTCACCTTGCGCTCTGTGATGTCGTACACTTTATTGGTCTTCGTAGATATCTTGTACTGCTGAGTTGGGATCTAAATGACAAAAAGCACCAATGACTCCTGAGAAAACAGACCAGAAGCATTAAACATGAGACACATGGAGGGTTACTACTTGCTATAAAGGGTCTCACCTTGCCCAGTTTATTTGGACATATGGGATAACCACACAGTTTAGCAATGGATCTCTCCTCAATAGTGTCTTTGTAGTTAGCTGGAGCGATGAACTTGGCCTGTGAAGACACGAGACTGATGACGTTTTGTTCACCACAGCAGATGAGCCACTTTGACTAAAGCATCCAACCTGAATCCCAACATTATCAGTTTCTCTTTTTGAGGCTACATCTCTGTAAACTGAATGTGTTCGGATTTCAGTTTATTAACAAGGCTAAACAACACATTTGGAGATTTCCCCTTGGACTGTTTTATTGTGATCGTTTGACATTTGCACTTTTTCAAAGATCAGTTTTTATTAAATCGCAGAAAATGTGCAAACTAGTTGCCCCAATTCTGACCCAAAGGTGGAAATCTTGTAGTAAAAATCTACTTCGATGTGCAAAAAAAAGAAAATTAAACAACGTGAGTACGACTGAACAAGCAAGATGTCATGTTTCCAAGATAAATTCATAAAAACTGTAATAAATAGTAAGTCTAAATAATAAACAATAAGTTACGATAAGTCCAGAGCACCAACATCAACTGTACAGCTTTTATAAACATTCAGGAAACCTGTGACCGCCATCACTAGAAAAGACTGATTAGAAAAGGCAGACATGGACTGTGAATTACACAACCAGGATCAGTACAACATCGTCCAGACAGTGATTTTAAAAAAGTACAAAGACCACAGTGTGAACTAAAAATAACAGAAGACTGGCAGGAAAGAAAAGGAAGCCCTCCAAGCCTGTGCCACGTCTACCAGCTCTCTGATCAGCTACACGGTTTAGGACTGAACTACGAAGTTCTGTTGTTCTGCTGCAGAAGTGAACTCAGAAGACACGTACGCAGTCAACCAGGAAGTCCTCAGCCACGCTGTCCTCCAGGAGGCGCTCCACCACCTTCAGTGCTCTTTTCTCCAACTCCAGCTTCTCCCTCAGCCTCTCCTTCACCTCCTCTCTCCTGAGACAGAATAAAGCACACACACATTGTTTATTCTAACTACAACCTAGTTTCGTGTGTGTATACATGGAGGGTGGGAGGGACAGGTTGTCTTGTCTTTTTTTTCTTATTTTTTTCTTTGACAATGTTTTTAATGCTGTAAAGCACTTTGCGGTGCTCCATGTATAAAAATTGCTATATAAATAAAGTTTGATTCGAACAGTCTGTTGTGGAGATTCTGGAAGAGGTTGATGTAGGTCGAGGAGCCCGACACAGAGACACACCAGAGACTCAGATGACTGAGGTTGAATTAAGGTTTACTGATGCAGCATCAGTTCTACAGATCCCTCTCACACCTTTAGTCTGACATCCTCCTTCAGTGGGAGCCACATCCAGATTTATGGGAGAAAGGGAAGCAAAGATAAGTCTGCGCCTGGGTACAATCTGGCCTTGAGAGGTGCAGGGAGAGCCTGTATGTCCTCCTACAATAAGGTTTACGTGAGAATGTATAGAGAATTTACAGAGCTTCAAGCACTACATTTACCTCAGGAGGTCCATCAGGGTTCAATATCTCCTCTAAAAGATTAACTTCAAATAATTCCTTCACAAATCCATCCTCGTAAGATCAAGCCAACAGAAACACTAATTAAAGGTAAAATGAGTGTAGGCGAGAGAGATCCTTATAATCGACCCTGTATCACTTCATACGATTGTACAGAGTCACATTCTCCAATGAGTGATCTATGACACATAAATCAGTATAAGAATAAACTATAAATCAAGCAACAGACCATGAGCCCTAAAAGTTTATGCAGGTAGGAGTAAAACCCAGAGGGAAAAACTCTCCCACCACCCCCCTATGATTCTGGAAACAGATGTTAAAGATCCAGATTCACAGGAATTTGCTTGACAGCTCATCAGCCCGCTCATCTGAGAGCTCCTCCTGAGACACAATCCACACATGGTCACATGTCTTTAGGGATTATCACCACAACTGATCAACATTATAGGACACACGTTCTCCTTCACACAGTCCAGCTTAAAAGAATGCAATTTATTCATTACTTTTAAGTTGCAGGTGCTGAGCTGAATTTAATGACTTGTGTCAATGTAGTTTGTAAAGTCTCATCTCAATCTAATAATAACACCTGTTGTATATTAACTATATGATAATGCAAAGTGACTAAATGTAGTGGAGCTAAAGTAGAATATGTGGCTCTGACCATAGATCTGTATAATAAAGGCCTGTATTAAACATATCTGTGGCTCTGATCATAGATCTGTACAATAAAGGCCTGTATTAAACATATCTGTGGCTCTGACCATAGATCTGTACAATAAAGGCCTGTATTAAACATATCTGTGCCTCTGACTGTCCTGAAGGAAGTTGACAGCAGTGGGAGGTGTAAACACTGGAGCTAGTTTATTGATTAGCACAACTTTAAAAAGCTCTTTCATACCTTCTTGCTTCTTCTTCAGCTGTCAGTGCCTTCATACGTTTCCCTCCTGTCACACAAACGACAACAACGTTAGAATACAAACCGTTAAAGCTCCTAAACCTCTGTGCTGTGGACTAGCTGTGGCCCCTTTAGCTAACCGCTCAGTGAGCAGCTCCCGCTAACAGCAGCTATGTGTTGTATTAAAACACGTTTAAACTCCTGCTAGGCTGTAAACAGGCTTTCTAAAGCCTACTGTTAAAATGTCAGAATGAGTTTCGAGGGTAAACTCACCCTTTTTGGAGGTTTTAGCGGAGCCTCCGGTCCTCCTCCTCTCCTCGGCCGCCATGCTGTTTCTGCTGCCCAACGCTCACCTCTGACCGCTGACGCGCTTCAAGCTACGGCAGCCGCGACGGTCAATCCCGCGGTTCGCGCTGAGCTTAGCCAGCGTGCCGTGGTACTTTTCAGCAGGCTGTTTGGGACATGAAGCTCAGGTAGGAGTCCGCTAGCCCAGTTTGTCACCTTTCTACGCCGGCAGCAGCGCTCCATGTCGCTGACAGAGTTTCGTTAGCCGACATGTCGCTGTTCTCATGTCAGTTTGACGGTGAAGCTAATTCAGAATGAGCAGCACTAGCATCCATCCTCACACAGCATTCAGACAGCAGCCATCTGATTATCAGGCTCACTGTTTATTTCTGACTTGAAGTGTCCCCCCTGTGTTTTGGAGGCTTGCTGCGTGAAGACAAAGCTCCACCTGAAGGCAGCAGGGATGGCTCTGGAGCAGCTCAGTGATGTGGTCCAGAGATGTGTAAGTGCTCCTCCAGACACCCAAACACATGTTCACACCATCAGCACGAGTGGCCTGGATGCTTCTGTGCAGTTTGACAAGCTGTGCTTTCACTGCACGTCAACCCTGAGCCTCCCAGTCTGCTCCACCAGTTAACAAGTCATGAGTAAAGTTTTCAACATGTTAGTTGTCTGTGCAGGGTTTGCACGGATAGAACATAACAACATGGTAATACACATGGTTAGGATGGGTTGTGTTCTTCAGGGCCAGCACTGATTATTGGTGATCAAGAAGGCGGATATTTGGGGCACGTTTGCAATAAAAATGTCAGCATTAAGAATAACACAAACTCCTGCCGATGTGTGTTTTTGATTAAATAAAAGAGGGCTTTTCAACATGAATCCTTCAATGTTAAACTAACTACACGTATAGTTTTACATCTGACTGCACCCCATTATAATCTGCTATGGGCAGAACAACACTGGCTTTTTCTTTTAGCCGGATTTAAGCCCAGGATGCAGCAACGGTGTCCCAGCAACATGGAGGCTGAGTAATGTTGAATATTTGCATGCAGGGAGGTGAGCGCTGATATTAAAACGGGTAATTCATCGACAGACTAGCAGAGCTGCCCTACTGATGGTTACTGAGGGTTTCTGCACTGTGACAGAAGAAGGCAGAATGCAGCAACACAACTACGTGTAATGCACAGCTAATGGTAGAATTATACATCCAGAGAGTCAGATCACGACAGATAGAGACGGCTGCATCAGAGCCAAAGTTTATTTTTTAGAGAATCAGTTAAAAAATGTACATTAAGATGATTCGTCAGTGACATTAAGACGAAAAATACAATAAAACACAAAAAGAGAAAGTTAAAATTAAATAAGAACAAAAAAAATATTGAAAAGATCTCTTCAGGAATTAAAATTAGGAGATTAGCAATACATAGAGAAACTGAAATGTAGAATTTTAATATACAGACAAAATGCGTAATATACACCTGGCAGGTAGAGTATATTTACAATTATTATCTGATTCCACGTTTTTGTCTTGTTTGCAGTAGTTCTTGGCAATCATTTTTTCAAAAATATATTGGCTCTTTTTTTTTAAAGGCTTTAAGATTATTCAGAAATTCTCACAAGTTTTTGATCGAGCTTTAAATATAAATATTTTACAGAAAATGTTCCATTCAAGCGTCCAGAACCATATATGTTGTGACAAATAGCACGTTACTAATAATACTTTTTTTTTTAACCCTGTTCAGGACTTTTGGGTTCTTTTGGACTTCAGGCCGTTTGTTTTAAGTGTCAGATGTTGTTTTTTATTTTTGAAAAATTTTCTTTAACTATAAAAAGAGGGACATTGGTCATGCATTTGGAACCAAAAATACGGCAACTAATCAGAACATTTATTTAGCATAATATAGAAGTCTATAATGAATACCAACGAATTATTCTTTCTTGGGGCTGCACAGTGGGTCAGTGGTTAGCACTGTCGCCTCACAGCTAGAAAGTCGCCGGTTGGCGTACCGGTGAGGACACCTGGGATCTTTTTGCGTGGAGTCTCCATGTTCTCCCCGTGCAGCGTGGGTTCTCTCCAGGTTCTCCGGCTTCCTCCCACAGTCCAGAAACATGCTGAGGTTAATTGGTGATTCTAAATTGTCCGACCCTAGTGAGGATTAAGGTGTAGAGATGATGGATGGATGGATGGATGGATATTCTTTCTTGGGGTCCAATGAACCCTGAAATACTGTCTACGTACAGCAACATGAAAGTCCTGAACAGGGTTAACAGTGATTCTGAATTGTTTCGTGACTCATTGACTGTGTTAAAATGTCTATAATTCTTCTCTCTCTACTTGTTTTTCAGCAAGCGCTCCCCAGTGACAGCTACAGCACTGAGGATTATGACGTCTTCACGATTGCGGGGCGGAGCTGCATTGAGGAGGGCAACAGCGCTCAGGTCCTCAGCATCGTCTTGGATGAAAAGAATCAGGTGCGTTTCAGTGACTGTCTTTTCTGTCCTTATTCGTTAGAGTGTTGCACATTGAGCTACCTGACACGCTTCTGCCTCGCTCCGTGTAGGACATAGTGAGATGCATGGGCTGGAATCTGCTGCCTCCACTGATTGCGGTGCTGCTGAAGAAAGAAGACAAGAACCTTCCTCAGTGCCTGGCCATTTTTAACCACCTGCTGCAGGTCTGCTCAGAGATGCGTCCATTTGTATCACAGGATTAGAAGTGAACCAGGACTGTGCTTGTATCGATGCTTTATGATGTTTGGTTTTCCAGACCTGCAGACCCAAAGAGCTGCTGATCGGCCTGTTGGAGCAACTGGAGCACGATGATCCTGACACCATAGCAGAAAGTCTTCACCTGCTCCTGAACCCTCTACAGAGAGGTAAAGGACAGTTCTTTATGATCTCTAGATATGTTCTCGGATGTATTGCTTCATCTCCTCTGTCCTCTCAGTGCTGCTGTGCCTTGGCGGTCGTAAGCCGTCGTCCCTGGGTATGACCCTGTCCTCGGTGCTGGACCAGGTGGCCAAACTGCCCCTCCCTGGCACCAAGGAGCAGGAGGAGGACGACGTCTTCTCGCTTTGTCGCTGCTGCACCGACCTGATCGACTTTGTCAGACCTTTTGTGGACGAGGCCAAGCAAAACCTCCTCACCACTAAGACGCAGAGCGAGAACGTCGACAGGACGGCGGTCGGGCAGGACGGGGAGAAAGAGGACGAGCTGCGGACAGAGCTCCTCAAGTTGTGAGTGGAAAATTCCATTTGCATAGAAAACACATTCAAACGTGTAACCTCATGTTACGTTGTAGTAAAGAGCTGTCTGGATCTCGACTGTGAGGCTGATGGTTTGTGTTTTTTTTTTTTGTCTTCTGCAGCTGTATGAAGACTCTGAGTCACCCTCTGTTGGAGGTACAGCTCCGGGATCCGGACACACTGCCTCTGTCCCCCCTCAGGACCTTTGCCACAGAGATTCTGGTAGTGAAAAATCATTCACTGATTTCAGAAAGAGCTGCTGTTGTCTTGTAAACTTAGTATAAATGAAAGTAATATAGTACGGTATAAAGCTGAAAGTAATGGACACATATTAAAATATACCTGAAACAACTGGATACATAGCTTTTACCAAACTGAGCTAAACATTGTCTTTTGAAAATTTGTGTGTAATTTATATGAGGACCAATTTTAAAAGAGTTGAAATGAACATATTTGAACAGGAGTTGTTGATATCAGGGTTTCTATAAGTCCATCTGACAGGTCAGTGGGGCTACGTCAGATGGAAAATGTTGGGAACCACAGCTCTATTCTACACAAATGTTTCACCAGTGCAACATGTTCACCTCCTGGACTCATGTTCTGCTCATGTACACTGTCAGACATCATGTGATTCTGTTTCTGTGTGTTTTTCAGGACACCCTCCGTGCTATCGGCGAGTCCCTCCCCAGCCTCGTCTACCAGCCACTGCTGAGGAGGAAACAGGTCCCGGGCTTCCTGGAGGAGGAGGTGCGTTACCCTAAAGAGTCTCTGGCCAGCTTGGCTCATCTGGTGTTCGTCCACCACCTGGCTGCAGATACATTCCCCAGCGTTTTCAGGTCAGTCAGAGGAGGCCGCTTTGTGTCACCTTGGGTTGGAAATTATGCATTTTGAATTTAAGCCTAAATTGTTGATCCTCCAAACTCTGTCTGCAGTCCTGTGTTCAGTCTGCGGTGTACCATGGAGCACATCCTCCTGCTCCTGTCCAGGTGAATACCGACATATCTGTTCTGTGATTTTGCCCCATATGCAGCTTTTGAACATCTTCAGGGATATAGTATATGTCATGATGTTGGATCTTTAAAAATGCAACAGAGAAGCTTATTTCTGACTTAAATTTGAAATTTGCACAGCACATAATTGCATAATGTACTGAAATTACATTATATAATTTAAAAAAACATATATATAGACCGGCAGACAAAAGTTCTTCCTTTTTTTGCCATTTTTGTCAATATTTACAAACCATATGAGCATAAATATACACTGTACCTGTCACATTGATGAAATGTAAATGAGATCTACCTGGTAATGTTTAGTGTGTGTTCTGGTTATAATTAAATCTCTAATCATTTGTACATGGTTGTGTTGGTAGAACGGAGGACTGCCGGCTTCAGAAAGGACTGGTGAGTGCAGCTGAAACGCTGATTTCGTGATCCTAAGGGTTTATTGCACTGTTACACCATTTTGGAGATTTGTATTGTGTTTTCCAAACGTTACTCAAAAGATGCTTCAGTCACAAAGGAAACGGGTGACACAGCCACAACATTTAAACCGCTAACGGGGGAAGAGAATCACATTGATCATCTCATTCCAGTGAAGTGCTCTGCAGGGAAACCCTTTCCATTATCAGCAGACTGAGCACACTCAGCAGCAGCAGCAGGACAGTGTGCCTCACCTAGAACAGCTCAGGAAAAGATCAACACGACAACAACGGCCTAAACTGTTGACCTGGCCTCCAGTTGCACAGTTCCCAGTCTGATCTGAGGGAGGGAGCTAGACAATGTTCAGCTGGTGGTTTTAATGTTGTGGCCTGTAGATGTATGAGCATTACACACCCACTGAAAACTGAGAAAAGTGCAAAGAACGCTGCTGCTGGAAAGAGTGGGCCAGAAAGTGCATCTAGTTCCCTAAATCATCTTCTGTGCAGCACACATATAAACTGTTTCTGCGTGTTTCCGATCGCACAGGAGCTGTACGAGAAAAGTTTGGTGCGGGTAGAGGACGGCAGCCTGCCTGCAGATCTGCTGGAGATCAAAACCTTCCTCACGGTCCCTCAGGTGAGCGCAGTTATTATTACACAAGGGGCTGCTGTGCTGCTGGTTTTACTGCCGTACCGTGTGCATCACGCTGTAGTATTGATTTCAGTGTGTGTTTTCAGAACCTGGTGAAGGTCATGACGATGTGTCCGAGCCATGATCTGGTGAGACTTTGTAGATCATTTAAAATTTTGTTCAAAATATTACAAAAGTTTTTACAGTGTGAACCAACTGCAAGGCCATAGATGATAAACCTTTATATTTATCGTAGCTTTAAAATTCATTAACATGCAGAAGAAAACATGTGAACTGAGAACAGACGTGTTCATGTTGCTCTTTCTGTCCAGAGAACCAGAGGCCTGAAGGTGTTCCAGCTGAGCATCGATAAGTTTGATACTGAAGCCAAGTACAGATTTTTCCAGTAAGTGCCACCTTTTCTCCTTTAACCATCAGAAATGGTTCCTTCTGCCACTGTAACGCCTTGTCATCGTGTTCCAGGTACATGCTGAAGACGAGTCATCACTCAGGAGTGGAAGGTTACATCATCAAGAACATCAGGAACCAGATCGACGCTGCGCTGCAGGTGACCAGCTGGTAGTTCTGTCGCCATTTTCACAGGTTCTGGTGCAGTAACTCAGCTAAATGGCCGTGTGGGTCATCATAACAAACGTCTGTCTTTGTCTGTCTGTCCGTTTCCAGCCAGGTAACGGCAACACCTGGTTCGAGGGCGTTCACATGCTGCCTCTGCTCAGGAAGGTTCTCAGTCTCCCTGACGGCCCAGAGACCGACCTGCTGCAGTACCTGGACAGGTCTGCTCACACCTCTGTTAATGCTTCCCATTTAATAACTGCTTGTTCTCTTCAGGGGTACAGGGGGCTGGAGCTGATCCCAGCATGCACTGGGAAAGAAAGCAATAACTTGAAACGCCGTGAGAGGAAAATGACTGCTGATCCATTCCATCTCAAATCATCTTCTGCTCAACCATCTTAGAACTGGTTCAAACTTCTGAAACTTAAACTATGGATATTTAAAATGATGAAATTTCAACTTATGTATCAGGTGCTTTCCCAGATTAATTTCTGATAAAAAATATCCAGATTTTATGTTGTAAATATTTGAGACAAATCAAAGATGGTCGAGCAGCAATTCTCCTGAAAATGTAATGATTTGAGATGGAATGACCCGACTGTGGGCTGCAGGTGGATCAGTGTTTAGCACCGTCGCCTCGCAGCTAGAAGGTCGCCGGTTGGCGTCCCGGTGAGGACACCCGGGATCTTTCTGTGTGGAGTCTCCATGTTCTCCCCGTGCAGCGTGGGTTCTCTCCGGGTTCTCCGGCTTCCTCCCACAGTCCACAAACATGCTGAGGTTAATTGGTGATTGTAAATTGTCTGTAGGTGTGAATGTGAGTGTGCTTGGTTGTCTGTCTCTAAGTGTAGCCCTGTGATAGACTGGTTACCTGTCCAGGTGAACCTGCCTTCACCCTGAGTCAGCTGGGATAGACTCCGCCCCCCACCACCCTAGTGAGGATTAAGTTGCTGTAAATGTGTTGGTAGAATAACAAGGACTTGACTAACTGAACAATGTCTGCAGTCAAGCATTAACGTTGGTGTGTTGCTTTCTGCAGGATCATGGAGTCTCTGAACCTGCTGCGGTACCTGGTCATCAGAGATAAGGTGACAGAGAACCAGGTGAGCCCACAGTCTTAGTGTTGAGCTGAACACTGACTGAGCGTAATGCTGTCTTATATGTCTACTGGAAAGCGCTTTGGGTCAACGTCTATTGTCCTAAACGTGTAGTATAAAACCAGGGACTTGACTCTGTTGGTCTACATGAGTCTGATTTCCAGATGGTATTGTTGCCAGGTTGATGTCGTCTGTTGCATCCAGCTGCACTCATCTTGTTTTCCTGCTGCTGTCGATCTTGCAGACAGGGATCTGGACCGAGCTGTATAAGATAGAGGATTCCTTCATGAAGCCCCTGCGTGTCGGGATAAACATGTCCAGAGCTCACTACGAGAGGGAGCTGCACAGCACCATGGAGACCAAGAAGAACAAGGCCAAAGGTCAGAGCAACACTCGCACACGTGATGAGACTGAACAGCAGCAGCACTGTGCATAAGCAGTAGTTATACAGCTGCTTTAATTTCCATGTGCTACTTCAGCCCAAGCTAATCATTTAATCAATGGGTAGCATCATCAAAAATATTCAGATGCAGCTTTTCCTAATGCAGGAGCTGCCACAGCAGAGGAGTCGGTGCTTTCTGTGTCCGTCGGTGACGAGAAGCTGCCGAACATGACGTCAGACTCACAGATTCAGGTCAGTTCTGTGTTCATGTGGTAATCAATTGATTGGAGCTTGACCGTGGGCCCTCGTGACTGAATCTCATTGGGTCCCGCCAGGCTCTGCACTCGGCCCTGCACACGTTTGATATGATCGAGAGCGTGCTGGTGCGGATAGAGGAGCTGGTGGAGGTGAAAGAAGATCTATAGAGTGAGATCGTCAGCCAGAGAGCGTCGCCGTCTCAGGGCCTAGCAAACAAAAAGAGCCTTCAGCAGTTAAGTTGATTTATTTTATTCCAAACAGAGCAGCATCACAACGCACGGGGATGCGTTGCTTCAAACGAGCCATGCACTTAAACGAGTGTTTGTCATAATTCAGGTTGTTCTCAGCTCGTCTGTCAAACTGTAAAATGTTGTCTCGAAAAAACAAATCTAAACGTCTGCTTGTGTCACTTCTGTGATAAATTTTTCAAAGTTTTGTACACACCGGTTAAATAAAGTATTCATTCTTGTACCGTTTGTTCAAACAAGTGGAATATTTTCTTGTTGTTCAGTAATATGCCCCCAGAGTAACTACAATCACAGTGTTCTGATTATTTCTAACACATTTATGAAGCAGTTTATTAAATTCACAACTAATAACACTTTAAAATGATTGTTTCCTTATTGTTTAATGATTGTTAGTGTGGAGCAGTGGTTAGCGCCGTCGCCTCGCAGCTAGAATGTCGCCGGTTCGCATCCCGGTGAGGACACCCGGGATCTTTCTGCATGGAGTCTCCATGTTCTCCCCGTGCAGCGTGGGTTCTCTCCGGGTTCCTCCCACAGTCCAGAAACATAATGTTCAGGTTCTCTATTCAGACATGAGTGAGGTAGAGTGTGGTTCTTATTACCTGACAGTTTCGGCGACAACGCTCGCCTTCTTCAGAGATGACATTGACAGCGGGTGACGTGATGCTGAGGTTAATTGGTGATTCTAAATTGTCCGTAGGTGTGAATGTGAGTGTGCTTGGTTGTCTGTCTCTAAGTGTAGCCCTGTGATAGACTGGTTACCTGTCCAGGTGAACCTGCCTTCACCCTAAGTCAGCTGGGATAGACTCCAGCCCCCCATGACCCTAGTGAGGATGAAGGTGTAGAGATGATGGATGGGTGGAAGGCAAACACAAAGTTTTCGGGTTTTGTTTGCGTAATAAACCGTATGAATTAAACTGCAGACGCTTGTTTTGTTTTTCCGACTTTATTAAGAAATCTAAAATGGAGGCAAATTGTCCAGTTTTCACTGTTATCAATAAATACAGTTGGAACAGAGACACGTACAGCAGAGTTCATGTGTTTATGTTTAAATTAAAAGCCCCTCATAGGTACAGAAGAGACCCTTACTATAATACGGTGTAATTACTAAACATACGGACAGTTTCATCTTTACAAGATAAGATTTAGACCACCAAGAATATAAAATATCTGTTGCCGCAGTTTAAAACACTTGAACCATTTACAAACAGCCAACATAAAGCTGTAAGTCAAGGCTGGAGCTCTCTGACCTGCTCACAGTCACCATAGCTGCCATGAAATCAACACACTGTGAACGGTGAAGTCAAACCTGTGCTGCAGGAATGTTTATATTCAATGTAAGTATAAAGTTTTAAAGATGGGAGAGGAAGCTCACCACATCTCTCTAGTCCGTTAAAACGATCCAGCATGCCACTCTACTAAATCTGAACTTCATCTGGAGAGTCCACACGGTTCTGTTCTGCCTCCTGGTCCTTCGATGCTCTGCAGGGACTCACAGGTCCTTGAACAGCTGGTGCTGCAGCGCCTGAGCAGCTGTGATTCTGGTGCGAGGGTTCAGGTCCAGCAGCTTGTCCAGCAGGTCGTAGGCCTCGTCAGGGACGCTGTCCCAGCCCTGCTCGTCCTCCTCGACCTTCCCGTCCATCGCCGAGCTCTGTTCTGTGGGGCGAGTTGCGGTGTCTTTGCTGCCTGACTGTTTCTGGTGGTTTGGGAGCCCAGACGAGAGCGTTTCCTCCACTCCGTCTATGTGCTGCTGTGCTCCTTCAGTGGGGCGGTGTGTGGGTGTGTCATCGTGGATCTTGTGGTGACGGGTGGCGGCTTCAGGAAGTGGCGTGACTTCGTCATCTGGCGACGGCCTCCGTCCTCTGAGCGTCTCGCACAGCGTCCTGAGGTCCTGTCGAGGAAGCTCCCGGCTGCACACCACTGCCTTACCTGAAAGAGGCGCCAGGTTTACGCTCTGCACAGATTTCTACATGTAACTGAGGTAGATTCCAGTTTGCCTTCAAAATCATAGGTACTAGTTTGCCGAGTAAAAAACACTGATACACACCAAACGACTTGGCTGCCTGGATGGTCTCTCTGGAGCCTCGTATGGTCATGATCTGCGTGAGCGCTATCAGATCGTCGCTGGCTTTAAAGAACGGATAACGGCCACTGAGCAGTGACAGCAGGATCACACCGGCTGACCACACGTCTATGGCTGCAGTATGGGGTGACAGGAGAGCGCAAACGTGCACATTAGTGACAGGAAGAGACAGTTAGAAGAGCCCAGTTCTGCCCGTCTGCAGTGTAGGAAACCGGCCTGACTCATGTAGTGCAGCAAGAGAATGAGTGGGAGCACAAGAGGTGAATGAGCTGTGTTTGAGCATTCATATCTGTGCTGTTGTTATTTATGTATTACTAGAGATATCAACCTGTTCCCTGGTTGGGACACTTGGTGAGGACTTCTGGTGCTCTGAAGCCTGGAGTTCCAGCTCTGGGTGCCACCTGCTGCTTCCTTCAGACAAAAACAAGAACGTTGAAGAAGGCGTTTGTTCACAAAACAGAAACAAAACATGACTTGTTAAACACAATGATTCCGTTGTTCGGTGGATTAGACGGAGGGGCTTTCATTATCCAGATGCCTGTGGTTCTTGTACAGTCAGCAGCAAAAGTCTTGATGACAACATAAACAATATTTATGCCTAAAATACGACCAGCGGCTAACAGTGAGGGTTCCTTTCCTTTATTTACACGTGTGGCTGTTTATGTTTGCTTTGTCACCTGGACATGCAGACGTTGCAGACACGGTCAGTGAGGTAGCAGTTACAGGTGAGGCCCTGCTGCACCGTCCTCTGAGGTTTCTGACTGCTGCTCTGAGTCCTGACCGGCAGCGGGCACCTGGAGGCTGCTGCATACCGTCGGCTCGCTGGATCCTCTGGTTTGCTCGGCTTCACCAGCTAAAGAGAGGATAAAACACGAATATAAAAAATAAACGACTAAACCTTCAATTATTTGTAATTTCAGGGACCTTGAGTGATTTATTGTCTGCAGTGATCCAAAAATAAAGTGATTTAGAGTGAATAAAGCTCCAATATTAGCATAGCTGCTCAGATCAATATTGCAAAGAACAGACGTCTTGTTCTCCCATCAGCTCTTTCCATGTTGCTTACTTCTGTTTTAACGGCAGCTTGTTTGGTGGTGGAGGGAGCCGGTGTGCAGCTGTTCAGGTTCCGCTCTCCAAACACCGGCCGCACCACTCTGCGTAGTCCCGTCAGATCCTAAAGAAAACAAGCACGGATGGCAGAAGTGAGCAAAACCCAACACAGCGATGCAGGAAACGGAGCACAAGCAGGTGCACAGATAATTTAATACAGACATCCAGAAAGTCTGTAGCCCCACTTCAGTCTTGTGTACATGTCTGTCCTCAGTGGACGAAGAAAAGACTCAAAAAAGATCAACTTAGTGCAGACACCTTTGTGTGCTTTGTGCGAGAGGTGGTGGTGGTGGTGGTGGTGGCGACGGTGGTGGAGAGAGAGCGTGACTTTTTAACCAGTGCTTTTCGAGAGGCTGATGTGGATGAAGAAGAGGAGGAGGAAGGTAGCACGGTCACTGATTGCCTCGCAGGTGGAGGCAGTGGGGTTGAAGCTGTAGCGGCGGTGGTTTTGTGAGGGAGTTTAGGAGGTGCTCTGCTCCGCTGTGTGGCTTCTTGTTTCCCCGTGGACCCTCCACCTTTCTGTGACGGCCTCTGCCTCACCACCTTCAGCAGCTCGATGTGGGTGTAAGCTGTACCCTGAGCCAGGCCGAAGTCCACCAGAGCAAACCTGCACAAACACAAGATGATGAAGGCTTTATGTGGACGCTGTTGGGATGAAGTACAATCTAAAAGCTCCTGCTGGTTCAATCACGAGCTGCCACATCTTCTGTCATTAACCCATCAGCACTATACCAGAATAATGTTAGCATCAGAACTATATGTGTGAACTACACTGAACACATAACAGCTGTGTTTTATACAGAGGGATGCAGATACTTACATTTTGCTGTTCCTGTTGTAGAGGAAGTTATTTGGTTTTATGTCCCGATGAATGATGCCAAACTGGTGGATGTGTTTCAGGGCCTTTAACAGGTGGAAGATGTACAGACGGACCTCCTCAAAGCTCAGCGACCCAATGATGTCCTGATGAAGACATTTTAATTAGATCAGGAACTTAAGATTTCAGCAAACAAGATCTACATTAGGAAAGCAACCATCCTTCCATTATCTCTAGGGCCACTAGGGTGGTGGGGGGCTGGAGTCTATCCCAGCTGACTCAGGGCGAAGGCAGGTTCACCTGGACAGGTAACCAGTCTATCACAGGGCTACACTTAGAGACAGACAACCAAGCACACTCACATTCACACCTACGGACAATTTACAATCACCAATTAACCTCAGCATGTTAGTGGACTGTGGGAGGAAGCCGGAGAACCCAGAGAGAACCCACGCTGCACAGAGAGAACGTGGAGACTCCACGCAGAAAGAAAACGCAAACCGGCGACCTTCAAGCTGTGAGGCAATGATGCTACCCACCGAGCCACCTTGCAGCTCCAGGAAAGTGACAAGCTGATGTAACATGTAATCAGATTGTTTACATGCAATGAATCTGACAGACACTTACCACAATGGCTTGATGCTCCATGTAAGGCATTACAATCACGACATGGTCCTCCTTCCTGAAGCAGTACGTCACCCCAATCACATTCTCTGTGCCTCTGCAAAGTGAAAAAGGGTCACAGTTGAGACGGCAGTGGCCATTTCAGCTGGCTGTGCGTTGAAGCGACGTCAGTTTTGGACGCGCTCTTCCACGAATCATTACATAAGTCAAACATAGACGTACATTCATACATTCAGATGAGTGTGCTGGAAGCTGCTGCACATCCTACCAGCCCTGCCATTAATGTATTGCGGTGCGTAGGTTCAGCTGAATCATACAACCTTAAACAAACCCACACACCAATTTGCTACGGCATAAAAATAACCCTAAAAGTAAAAAAAAACAAAAAACAATTCTTTACCAGTTTGGCATTTTGCAATTCCTGAGCACTCAGCTTTCACAGATTTGTGTCAACATAGTAAAACGTCAGTATGAACCACAAAATGTATGATCTTAGAGAGCCTCTAACTGAAGCACATTCAGTAGAAAAATGGTCTTAAAGTGCCGAACACAGCATATAACACACAAAAAGCAGAGAGAAGCTCTGTGGAGGGATACATCTGTCTCCAGGCAGAATTACAGCCAAATTAAATGTAAATCCAATTAAATCTGTGTATCAACCGTCAAAGACCAACAACAGAAACAACACATGTCGACATCTTAAACATGCGTGAGCTACAGGATATCTTGAATTTCCCCAAGGGGATGAAGAAACTATCTGTCTATCTGGATCATTGGATCAGATATATCCAATAAAGAACAGAAGAAGAAAGTCAAATATTTAACGTGAAAGAGGAAAGTAACACAATTAGGGGCGAAGAGATCAAATAAAGTGAAGACACCTGATTACAAAGCAGAACAACAACCTAAACAGGACACAGAGTGAAGTCTATAATGAATCATAGTCAAAGGAATACGATAAGTCCACCAGGTTCAGAAGGATGTTGACAGGAGTCATTTCAACGTGACCAGCAGCGCTGAACTCACCCTGCAACAGTGAGACACTGAAGCTCTGCAGCGATGCGCGTCGGATGGCTGGTTGGGATGAGGTGTTTCAGGGCGAACATCTCCTTCCTCCCGTCTCTCATCTGCGCCTCACCCAGGTACACCGAGCTGAATGTACCTGATGCACAGAGACACATCATGAACACCTTCTGCACCGCTTGAATACATCCAGTGAGGTAAACAAGTGAGCGCTGTAATAATCCCAGAAAAAAAGCTTCTGTTCCACAAACTGTATGTCAATTCCAAATGTTGTAGAGAGAGTTAGGATAACCATGTACCTTCTCCAATCTTGTCTATGATGCGGAAAACCTTGGCCAGCTGAGGAATTGCTTTGTAGAGGAACTCGATATCCATCTCCACATCCCCTGGAAGTAAACAAAAAATATGTTAAAAAGAAATAATGATGTTTAAAGGCTGGGATAGACTCCAGCCCCCCATTGACCCTAGTGAGGATTAAGGTGTGTATAGATAATGGATGGATGTTTAAAGGTGCACAACATGTCTACTGAATTAATTGCATAACTCCCCACTAACATCATTCAATTACAAAAGGCACAATACAAATAAAAAATGTGACTTTTAAAACTATTGTTAGATATTTCTTATCATATGTCAATAGTGGTGCATTACAGTTGTCATAAACTGTCCCACTCACTTGACATTTTGCTTTTCCTGTGACTCCGGTCAGATTTCATGATAGCTCCGTCCATGCTGATGCCCTCAGTGCAGACAGGAGACAGCTCCATCTGAAACCCAGAGAGAAATCAGGAGAGGAACTTAGAGAGGCTGAACATGTTCATGATTAAACGGTAATAAACACTTAATAGGTTACTACATAGTCCAGTTGTATTACAACGTAATGCTATGTTAGAGAGAGCAGTACTCAGTTAGTAAACCATCCTATTAAAGTGGCAGATGGAGGAGAGGTGTGTAAAGCTAATGTTTAGGAGCTGTCTTGACTTCCTCGTTAAAGCTCAACTAGCATTCTGCTGCTAATTGTAGCTCCAGTCTAAGTTAGCTAAAGTGCAGCTCGTTGAGGAAAACACATAGAAACTCACCGCTTTAGTTGGTCGTCAAGTTGGACAGCTTCTCGAATAAATGGTTCATAAAATCGCCAAATAGAACGAGCTATTCGGCTACCGGCGAAACACTAAACCCACATAAACATCACTCGGGCTGCGGCTGCAGTAAAGAACTTGTTCAGACTTTCCGGATCTTTTCCGCCAACAACAAACTGCGCGCTAAAAGTGACGTCACGGCGAGAGATCTCGCGTTACATCAGCACATCACGTGGTGTCGCCCTCCACCCAACACAGGAAGTAGCGGATTAAAGTGATACATTCACATTCTTTACCTGAACAAAAACACGAAAATCAAACGGGAAAAGTTCTCCGCTATAAGTAAGAGTCCTGCTGTGAAAGTATTACTGAAGTAAAAGTAAGTTTTACCACTAAGATGTACTTCATCTGCAGGAAAATGCCCCCTGCGTTATATTATTATTACTATATTATTACTGAAGCAGTGAAGTAAAAGCAGGACTTTATTGTTGTTGTTGGTTGAAATACTTTCAAAAAAATTATTCTGAACAAATAATTATTAGTTTCATCCATGAAGGACTTTTTTTTCAGTTGACTAATTTATTAATCAACAGAGTGTTTTTATCAGGTGCAAAATTGCTTAAATCTTGAAGAGCTGATATCAGTACATTGAATTTAAAGCAACTTTTGACACATTTTAATATATACGTTATGACTGACTTACACTGGTCATGCTTGGTCATCATCACTGACTTCTGACATATATTTTTGCTATTTTATGATACAGTCTTTATATAATACTTATTATTTTATCTCTGTAACCTGTTAATTTATACTGCTGCCTGTTTTGGCCAAATTGGTAAAAGAGATTCTTCATCTCGAAGAACCTTTTTGTGGTTAAATAAAGGTAAGAAAAGAAAAAGTTCATAAACTGTACTTTTGTTTATATTATAAGCTCTTCCAGTGTTTTGTGACTACTTACTAAAGCTGTTATTTAAATGTAGTGTAGTGAAATTTACAATATTTTTCCTCTGAGATGTAGAAGAAATAGAAAATGACTCAACTAAAGTACAGGTACATTAAGTTTTTCTTAAGTACAGTACTTGAGTAAACGTACTTTCTATCACTGATCCAAAGCTACTTCTCATCGGTTGAGATGTTGAGAAGTTACTCCCCACGCTTGCACTGAGTCATCCAATGAACAAAGACTTTATTGAACAAATAAATACAATCACATTTGCAATAACTACAACTAACGCAACTTGTTTCATTTACAATATGAATATATGGTAACAGGAAATTACAACAACTCGATATAAATCTCACAGGCTAGAGTGAAGGACAGCATGAAGAAAGAACTCTAAGTTAATGACATATTCATGTCAGAGGAAGGCCAACAGTCCTTCTAAAATATACCATCGAATATGCCAAGGAAAGCTTCCTCTTCTTTGCTGTTGGAGCAGAATGTATAGTAAATAAAAAAGAGGGAAAGGATATCCATTATTCATGTGAGAAAGTACACTTATTTTCATTATTGACAAAAGAAAAGGAATGATTGAAAACAAAAGCCATGTAATTATGCTTTCCTCTACCTTCTGCTGTCGGATGAGCTCGCACCGGCTGCGACGCTCATTGTCGAGAAGAAATCCAGTCTGTTATTCACTCGGGTCTCGTGAGGCTTTCTTGGAAGATTTTCTGGTAGTTTTACTGTGATCTCCTCATTGAAGATGTTTGGTCTCTGCACAGAGAGGACAAGAGGCGAGCATCACATACCGCATGCAGCTCAACAGCTAACAGCACACCTGGTGGGATTTCAGGAAGGTTAAGAACGAACAGACGTCTTTGATGAAGCTTAACCTGGGAGTCAGAAAATAAACTAAGAGAATATTTCTGTCCACAGCGTGAAAATCCCATCAGCTAGAAAAAATAAAATAAAAAAATGTGACTTGCTGCGTTGTTTTTTTAAATATTTAGATGTATCCATACAGTGGAGCACTGCAGAGGCTAAACACGTCTGTGCTGTCGGTAAGCTGAGCAGCTACACTGGGCGTCTGAAGGTCACAGTATGAGGTTTACTGTGTGAAAAACAAGATGGACAATTGTGTTCGCAATGCACAAGCACACACCTTTCTGTTCCAGTCGAGGGTGATTCTTTTCTGCAGGGCAGATGTTGTACTGACTGGTGAAGGTCCCAGTTTCCTGATTTCAGGACTCACAGTTGCTGAAATCGATCTAAAACACAAAAATATGACAAATGTTGTTGCCTCAGTGGGCAAAAGGATTTTCTGATTTTACATATTTAACTCTTTTTTGGTTCTTGCTGTATAAAATAAACATCTACTCCTTAACTGAGGCTAACGTGCGTCATTTTCTGGCCTCACCTCAGCGGTGTGGTGACAGCGCTCATACAGGGTTTGGCTTGTGAGCAACCGAGGAACGCTGGTGCTGATGTAGTAGCATGGCCTGCACAAAAAACACACCTGCTTATAAAATCTACAGCAGCGGTGGAGGTGTAATCTCACGATAAAGGTAACTGACTGTATCTGTGTTGCAATGAAGTCTTGATGAGATGTGGAGAAAGCTGGCAATACATAGATTGATTTCCTTCCTCTTTCTCCTGAATTAAACAACACTGAACGTTCACTCTACCTGCCCGGTTGTGCTCTACACTCTGAGGATTAGTCGTACACGAGGCCAGTGAAGTCTCGCTGGCGTGCACCAAGTTGTCGTCATCGAAGTCGCCCCAGTCGTCCCATTCGTTTCCAAGGTCAAAGCTGACGGCCGGCAGTTGGAACGATGAAGCTCGTTCCTCTGACACAGCGGTGGACCTCAGTGAGTAAGCTGAGCTGCTGGTATTGATCTGGTTTAGATGTTGTTTAGAGTTCTGACTCCCACTGCTCGGTTCTGGGATCATCCACACCGAGGAACCTGAAGAAAGACACGTTTAAAAAAAGGATGAACGCGCCATCAAAGGTTTCTGCACTGTATGCTTTCATGTGTTACACACCAACACACTTTCTTCTAGATGGATAAATTTATCATTTTGATTCTAAAACCACACATCTCCGACCTAAACGTTCAACATACTGTACTGCCTTCACGTCAGCCACTGTTTCTACTTTAAGTGAGTGTAATAAAAACCTTTAAACAGGTAATCCATAAATATTAAAACATCTAACCACGTTTTATTTTTGTGTCAGATGCATATTGCTTTGTTGTGAATGCTCTAACCCCAAAGTTAAATGTCTGTAGCCAAAGAACAAGCTGTTTTATGAAAAACATAAAAGCTGTCCTTATGAATCACAGCTTATGAAAGCGCTGTAAATGTCCTGTAAATCTGAATTCCAGCATAATTAACTGCAGTTTACTCAAATTAAAATGGGTTTTAATGGCTAGGACACTAAAAGCCATTTTAAATGTCAATTATCAATACGTAGACTACAATATGTTTGTGGATAATGAAGTAGAGCACGCAATCCACCAGTATTAACCGGCTGTTAATTCGTTAAACTCAAGATTTTAACCAATACTTCGGTAGTGAGCGCTGGATGCAGCAGAGGTTTGGACGTTCTCTCCCACCATGTTGCTCTCCACATAGTCATCATAACCTTAAAAAGACAGAAAATAAGAGAGAAGCTGATGATGCAAAATGAATAAAATGACACTGAATGGGTTTTGAGCCGTCTTCTTTAAACTACTGGTTTACCTCTGTCAAGGTCATCCAGACAAATTATGTCTGGCAGCTGAGCGCAGTCTCCGTCTGTCAGGCCGGTCACAGTGTGAGGTTTCAGTGAAGCTTTGTGGTGAATTCCTCCACCCCTTCAAATCAAATACAACCGGATATGAATATGTGTCACTGCAGCAGCTGTTAAGGACTCTATTCTAAAGTTTGCACTTAGGAGTAAAATCTAAAACATCAGCGAATACCAGGAAACAGGAGAAAGCATCTGTTTGGGCTTGTAAGCAAACTCCTGCATGCTGACGGACACGGGCTCCTCGCTCATCTTCATCTGAGGACATACAGAGAACATCAAACACTCCCTTATTAAGCTCAGTGCAACAGAAAGACTCTTTAAGGGCAGAGGAGATGTTTTCTAGTCACAGAGATTCTATGGTATCTTCATAAACAAGCCACATGTGGACATTTAAACATACAGTAAACTAACCGCATCCAGAATTTCACACAGAATGAGTTTAGAAGGTCACATGAAGCATCTAATCTGCATATTTTACATCAGAGTAAAGCATAAATGGCCTTTCTGAAGTGCAAGGTACATACAGTAAGTTTGCTGTATGTCACAACTGTGTTGTCATGTTATTTTACACTATACACGTATAATAATTAGTCTAATATGTTAGAGATAATTTATTTTTTCATACAATGTCACTCATGTGGTTGGTACATTTCTTATTTTTCCTGCTTCAGAGCGACTCCCCTCTTATATCACTGACATTTCTTTCAGTCTTAGTTCAACTATCGGTGTCTGGGCAGTGACTCATCAGCTTCTGCAGGTTTATTATGAAGTGTTTTTGAAGAAAAAAAACAATCGTTCATAGGAGTCCGCTGCATAATATCCAGCAGTGCTGTCAGGATTTAGGGCTGCAGGTGGGTCAGTGGTTAGCACCGTCACCTCGCAGCTAGAAGGTCGCCAGTTGGCGTTCCGGTGAGGACACCCGGGATCTTTCTGCGTGGAGTCTCCATGTTCTCCCCGTGCAGCGTGGGTTCTCTCTGGGTTCTCTGGCTTCCTCCCACAGTCCAGGAACATGCTGAGGTTAAGTGGTGATTCTAAATTGTCCATAGGTGTGAATGTGAGTGTGCTTGGTTGTCTGTCTCTAAGTGTAGCCCTGTGATAGACTGGTTACCTGTCCAGGTGAACCTGCCTTCACCCTGAGTCAGCTGGTATAGACTCCAGCCCCCCACCACCCTAGTGAAGATTAAGGTGGACAGATAATGGATGGATGGATGATAGATAGATAGATAGATAGAGATAGATACAACTTTAGTATGAACCTCACGGAAATTGTTGTGGATGGACTGATGGATGGATGGATGGATGTCAGGATTTGTCCTGCGAATTGACGTTTGGTGGATGGTAAGCATGACCGGCCTGCGTACAGTAAAAGCAATGCGCTCTGTTTCCTTATTTGAAATAAATCTGAACATTTCCTTCTTATTTCTGACCATGTGTTAAACAAAAATGTTTACTGTTTTACTTGAGTCGACGAAACCGCAATTAACAAAAAAACTGCTTTAAAAATTTAACTCAGTTTTCATTCTCAATTCTTTTGATGTAGCCACTGGTGAGTTTCATTTGGTGCTGGACAAAAGCTCTTTGAGGGTTTCATCAAATATTCCTCTATGCAGGAAGAACCCTGGAGTCTTCACGAGCCTGATTATATAACACAACCTGAGCAACACAACACAGTGAAACGTCTCTGTAAGTTCATTAACTACAAAGACTACTCGGCGAAGAGTAAAAAACAAAACAGACGTCTGTTTTCTTGTTCACCTTGAGTCGTTTCACTGGGGTCTGCGTGAGAGTGTCCGATCTGATCCTCAGGTCTTGCAGATAAGATGAGAAACTGGACTCCTGGTTCGCTGACCTCTTCCGTGCCACAGTTACACCTACTTTACCTTTAGAGGAGACACATAAGCACTCTGACAGACTGGAGGGGGACGACTTCTATAATCTTGACAGACACAGAAATTTATAAAGTGACACATGCACAGTGAAAGATGTGTTATTATACTCACAGCAGTCATGCGCACAGAGGCTCTTATTCTTGCAGAAGTGGTTGCACTGTCTTTTACTGCCTACATCTGATGCACGGAGAAGAAAAAACAAGTCAAAGAACAATCTGCCCATAAAGAAGTACTATATTGATGTTAACAATTTCATATTTAGGCATGAAGAAACTCATCCACGACAAAGTTACGATGGGTTTTGCCTTGGTCTTTAGCAGCATTTTCCTTCTGAGCCTCAGCCTGATTTGCAGACAGCGGCTTCAGCTCAGAACTCTGTGGTCTCTGTCCAGCAGGAATGTGTGTTGTATTGTATGGATTTTCAGACCTCCTGGCTGCAGAGTAGTGCACAGTGAACTTCTGCTGGATGTCCAGGCCCACTGCAGGAGTGAGAAAAGGCCCGAAAGCTCAGAATAGAATATATCCACAGTGCAGTCCAAGAGTCAAAAGCTCGGATGTATAAAGTGTAAAATTCTACATGTTTGGGTAGATGTCACACCTATGGACAATTTAGAATCACCAATTAACCTCAGCATGTTTCTGGACTGTGGGAGGAAGCTGGAGAACCCGGAGAGAACCCACGTTGCACGGGGAGAACATGGAGACTCCACGCAGAAAGATCCCGGGTGTCATCACCGGGACGCCAACCGGTGACCTGCTAGCTGCGAGGCGACGGTGCTAACCACCAAGACACCTTGTAGCCTTTATAAAAACTGATTACGTCTCATTTAGGTTGGTAAACTTCATCTCAGCTTAGCAGCAGTGGGGCATCTCAAACCAAATGGTGAATTGTTCTTTTACTGATCACTACTTAATGCACTGCACTACTTCCCTCTACAGTCCAGATGACATACAGGATGTAGGTACATATTGTGGCTGTATGTATGTGTTGCACTGTAAAGCTATTTCCATTGTGTACCGTATCCTGAGCTTATGAGATTGACACTGATCTCCTCTCCTTTCGAGGCTTTTGCCACATCAATCTTCTTCGACCAGCTACCACACTTCAGCAGCACCAGGTCCCTAGAAGACAAACAACAGGATGCCTGCTGAAAATCAATCACTCAAACGAGATTCTGTCTCCTTTAAAAACAACGGTTTAAAAAAAAAAAAAAAAAGTATGTGTTCTGATTTTAGGTTTTAAAAAGGAAGCACAAACGATTCTTGGGAGCCTCTGATACAATTATCTTTTCCTCACGTGAGTTTCTGTAGAAAGACGACGGTGTTGTCGGAGTCTCCGATGATCAGAGAGACGTAGTGGTGGTCTGGAGCCGTTCTCTTTGACAGCAGCTGTGCTCGGTTCGTCAGGTTCACCTTCACCACAATCTCTGCCGTGGCACTGCTGTACCGCGGCAGCTACGAAACACAACAACAGCGGCTTTAGAGAAACACGACTAAGATTAACAGAGCTTTAGTTCGCTACAGATGTAGAATGAAACACTTAAACCGTTCAATCGCAGGAGAGCAGATGAAATGTTGTAATGCTTTTCAAATGACACGGATGTAAATGACAAACAATGTAAAGATTGGCTCTCCAGTGGGCTCACAGCATTCCACAGTTTCTAAGCCAAGATCAGATTTCCAGCAACTCAAATATCAATTCAGTTTGCAGATTCAAAGCCAGTTAAGATATTCAGAAATCAAGGGTTATATTGACTAATAAATAACTGGAGCTTTTGTGGGAACAGAGACACAAATCAACAAGAACAAAAGGCTTCGTATAAACATGCACCAGGAACACATTCACCGTTGATGTTTTTCTAATTATTATTTTAAAATACCTGAACAATCTTTATGCTAATTTAGCTTTTTTTTTTTTTTTTAATTCTTTCATTTATAGGCAACGGAAAAAGAATTACATAAAAAATAAAAGAGCTACCCACTTGAATCAAATGTCAGCTTAAGAGTTTGACCAATACCACAGCTTTATGGTTCTTATTTAAATTAATTCTTCACTCCACAATAATTTGCTTCTGCTTTGCATGGTTACAGTTATTTATATTTGTAGTTACTTTTATTGTTTAGCTGCTTGTATATTTTTATCTTGTAGATTGTGCCTTACTCTATATTTATTGTTGCACCAACCCACCAGAACCAATTCCTTGTATTGTGTGAACTATACCTGGCAATAAATCTGATTCTGATTCTGATTCTGACCAACATAAATAAAGAAAACATGTGACACCCACAAGGTGCTTGTCTTTTTTATTACTGAAGGTTTGTGCCATTTACCTGCTCCAGAGAAATGTCATACTTTGGGAGACGGACGACAGATTCTCTGATTTGGTTTCCAAACGGCGGATGTCTGTTGAGAATCTGTACGAGGAGATAAAGTCAGCAAACATTACATTGAAATGCTTTATACAGGTAATAGTTTTCATCTTGTTATGTGTTTCGGCAGGCAAGGCTGAAGAATTTCTAGAACGTGCTTAAACTGTTACTACCTCATCTTGTGTATATAGTCTTCTGTACATAATGTTTTTCTCTTACAATTTGCACTTTATGTTTCCACATTATTCTTGCACTGACTGTACACTTAATCTTCTGGAGCTGTTGTAATGGTGAACTTTCCCCACCGTGTGATCAATAAAGTTTATCTTGATATCAGCTAAGTGATTTTGAATCAGCAGAACCAAAAACCTGCACACTGTTGCTGAGACATATGATGTAAAGTCAAAAATAACTTTAATTTTTAAAAAATTGTACACCTACCTTACACAGTTTTAAGGAAGTAGTGACATAGTGCAGCGGTAAAATATAAGATAGCAGAGGTTTAATGTTGGGAAACTTCCTCCTGAGCCATCAAAAGGTTAAACTCACGAGCAGATCTGTGATGGACGGTAACCATCTGATCTCCTAAATAACATGTGTGAGTAAAACCCATGTCTGCCATCAGGCCTCACTGCACTAACATCAGAGCCTGGTGTCTACATTACCACCGAACAGCCCACTAAATCAGACACGTCCAGCCATTAAACACAGACTGACCAGCTCGAGCTCTCTGGCGTTGGTTTCCTCTATTTTGCTGAAAGTGGTCAGTCCGCTGTTCACCATGGCAGTAGACAGGAACTGGCCTGAAACACATCATGTCATTAATAAATCATCAGACGGTGCATTTGCATCGAACAAGAAGAACATCTGGTTTATTAATGAAATCAGGAGGTTGCAACTGTGGCACTGGGATATTTTATCGGAAATATGCAAGAACTAGTCTTAGATATAGAATCCTGTAGGACGCTAAATGTATTTGTACAGTATGAACGCATAAATGCATGCACCTATCTTGTCCAGCTGTTTGGAAACATAGAGCGAGTTTTCCCAAAGCTTGGCTCTGAAGCACTTAGCCAGGATCAGGGAGTTGAGCACAGCAGAGAAACCGGTCTTGGATCGCTGAGTCAGATACTCTGAGAGGCCTGAATGGGGTCAAAACACAACCAAGGTTTAAAAAAAATGTAGACACTTTATGGTTTCTGATTTATCCAACGTACATCTGCTGATGCGCATCCCGTTCCTAAAGATCTTTGCTGTGTCCTGTGTGAGTCCAAACTCTTGAATGGAGATGGAACCCAGCTGAGCCTGAATCAAGCTACAAGGCAATAAACACGCATCATATACTACAGTGTACAGTCCATCATAAACTCCATAACAAACTGTAAATAATTCACACGCTACTCAAAGACAGTTCTTCCACATGAAACACACTGAATGACTAAACCTACCAGTTCACTTTCATCTCACTGGTTTTGATCTTTCCTTCCATGGGAAATCTGTAAAAAAAAAAACAACAACATTAAATGGTATATCTACACTACAGTACATTTTCCATCCAAAGGCTACAAACAGAGTTAATGTTGTTGTTCATGGTGTAAAAGTGTCTGACCTGATGGTGACCCTGTTTTTATCCCTGTTCAAAGTGTTCAAGGGCCTCTTCTCATTCACTCTCAGCTGAATGTTGCTGAACTCTCTGCTCTTCGACATCAGCTTGATCTAGACGCACAGCACAAACGCTTTGGATTTCAATACTCTTTTCTTTTCAACGCTTTACTACGCAGCTTCCAAACAGTTATGTGTTTTCTTTTGCGGGGATCCGGCTGAGCTTAGTGTCTTTGACAGAGTAAGACAGAGAAAGGACCTCGGGCCAGGCATATCTGCTAAATGTCAAGGATGAAACTGCAAAGGTCAAGACTTATTTCCAGCTGAGGAACACAAAATGTTGATATATAACTGCGTATGACTCAAACGCATTAATACGAAAAAGCCTACCAGATCAGAAAGGCTCTCGGAGCCAGCCACTTCACTGAACTTTCTCATGGTGTCGAACGCAACGCAGTACCTCGCCATCAACCTGCCAGCCTCTGCGAACGACAAAAACAAACCGCTTAACAGGTTACGTCTTGAGCATTAAGCTCACGTTAGAAATGTATTGTAGCCGTATAAGGTAGAAACTTCATCCATGTCTCTAAATATTAGGGATGCACGATACACTGGCGACCACATCGGTATCAGCCGATATCAGTGTTTTTTCCCATACATCGGTATTGGTCTGATGAACACATTTAGCCGATGATTGTCTAACATCAGCGCCTTCGTCTCTACGTTTGATATCGCTGCTGTTTCACAGATGTTTTTACTTAAACGGTCCTGGACTTAAATATGTTTAATATGTTTTACTTTTGTAATAAAGAAGACTATGTGGTCTAATCTGGGCTTCTTCTGAATGGTTTTCTCACAGTGCTGACTGATACTCATTTTTCAGCGTGAACAAAAATTGAATATCGACATCGGTGATATCGGTTATCGGCGATATCAGAAATCTTAATATCGGTATCGGCCAGAAATTTTAATATCGTGCATCACTACTAACTACGTAAACCAATAAAATACTTTCTGCACTTTCCCAACAGTTTAAACCAGCTGCTCCTTTACCTGTTGGCTTGATGTTGATATCCTCGTCCATATCGATGACACCAATAGAGAACAGAGAGTTGAGGTTCTTCAGACACAGTTCTAAACAGAACAGGAGAAACAACATCAGCGTGCATAAACATAACAAGTACGTCTACAGTAAAGTAGAGTAGCTTCACTTGAGTATCCATCGCCCACCTTGTAATTTTCCTTCAATGCCGTATCTGTCTAAGTCGGCAGAGAAACCTGAAATAAAAGTTAAGATTAGCTCATTATTTAACAAAGATGTAGGAGATAGACACTGATTTTGACAGATGAAGTGTGTTTCGGGGTCTCACCGTAGTGTGTGGGGTTTTTGAGGGCTCTGATGTAGAGGAAGGTGGAGCGGATCCAGTCCAGAGCCATGTTGACATCGCTGATGGTTTGGAGAACAATCTCAGCATTCAGGTGCTCCACCAGGTGAGCGTGTAAGCTGGGGGAATGGAGTATACTGTTACCTCATGTACTATGGTGTGATCTCTCTCTCCTGTATGTATTTATATATGAGAGAGACAGCGATCAGAAGACCAAGACCAAAGAAGGGAACAAAAAAAACCTGCTCTCAATGATTTCCATCCCGCTCATGAGCTGCATGTACTTGTTTCGGGTCTGAATCTTGGTCATGATCACTGCAGTGGCTGACGTGTCAAACTAAAGGAGGAAATAATCAAAGCCGAAATATTTGCAAACATGCATCTCTGCACTGTTGCAAAATATTCATAGATGAGTGCGTCTTTCTGTGTTCTAGCTGTGCTGCTACCTGTGGTCTGCCAGCCCGGCCGATCATCTGCAGCAGGTCTGCCTCGCTGTACTCCTCACAGGAGCCTGACACATACTGCATGGTGGACTTGATCACCACCAGATGAGCTGGCAGGTTTACCCCCATGGCCAAAGTCCTGGTCGTAACTAGGAGAGCAGAAATCAGACCCCGAACACAAATTAAGCCCCCAACAGATTAAACATAAACTGAAAGTGTTACAGCAGGTGATTTATTACTTTTACTATTGCATATCAACATCTTACAAAACCTGTCAGTACACACTATTTTAATTCATATGTTATATAAATACATCACATAGAGTACAGATTTTATAAACAATATATTTGCATTAATTCTTTTTGACACACTCCTGTGGTTACAAAGCTCGGGATAAGACCTCGCATTGTGTCACAACAATACAGATGAAATTCTGTTGCAACCTGTGAGACTCGTCTTTCCTGTTTACGTCTGCACTGTTGCACAGAAAATGAATCACAGGATCATGTTGCACTCTTCTGTCGTCACATGTGTTTTTGTGTTTTTTTACAGCACAGGATAAAAGTGTATTTATGCCTTACAGAGGACAGGCAGGTCTCCCAGAGTGAAGGCCTCTTCTATCAGCTTCCTATCAGACAAGTCGACTCCTGCGTGGTGATAACCAACTCCTAACATCACCAGATCTGGACCACAAACACAACACAAAGTTATGCTTTTAACTAATCTGTGAATATGTGGACACTTCTACACTGCAAACATATGTTACTGCCGAGCATCCAATCATGGACATTTATGTACTTCTCATTCTGCAGGGGCCGTTGGATGTTAAAGAAACGCATGCAAAGTTGTCTGGCTGTATGCTGTAGCACTGAGTGTTGATTTAAGCAAAACGAAGGGGCAAATGTCGGTATTGAAAGTATTGAAAGCTCCAGAGCAATAATCACACAATAATATGGCCGCACTGTATAGTGTCTGTTAATCAACGAATACAGCATACACGTGTGATAATGGGTTTCAAGAGGATTTAAAAGCTGCCCAGAGGCCCTACCTCTCAGCTTGGTGTCTAGAATAGAGTTTGCATATTTCATCAACCTGCAGAGTCAAGCACATCACACAAGTCCAGCAGAAAAGGTTTAGGGGAAGTAAGCGTAACTGTATTTATCAAACATCCTGATGTAAAGTTGCCTGTGAATGACATGCCGCTATACAGATAATGAAGCACGGCACCTTTGCTTGTGTTCAATGCTCATGATGAATCGAGCATCCTTGGCCAGAACTGCAGCGGACTGCTGGGCTCCTTTCCTTGTGGAGCAAAACTACAGAAAAACATAATGATCACGTAATGAGGCAAACTAACCCATGACTGTTAGGAATTCTTCATAAACTAATAACCTCATTCTGAAAGAAACCTAAAACATGCTGAAGAAAACCTGACCTCAGCACTCACCACTAGTGCAGGCTTCTGGTCAGAGTACGTCTGTATGATGTTGGCCATCTTGTAGTTAAGTGACAAATCAAACTTGAACTCAGTTTGGTTTGGACTGCAGGGGAATCCGAGCACCACCTTTCTCAGCTTCACTGGACGGTGGCTCTCATCCATATCCAGATATGTGGCCTGACCGCCCTCGTTTGACAACCAGTCTGCTATCTAACAACAGGCAGGCAGACCAGGCTACTGATTTACACCACAGATAAGAGCAAACAGCTACAGCAGAAAGTGACGACTGACTCCCTTTCTCAGGCACTTACATCGGATATATTGGGTATGGTGGCAGATACAGCCACAAATCTCATAGAGAGGCCTGCCTCTGGATTTTGTGATGTCCTGTAGGCGTGTACTGCCTTCATCCGGCTCACCACCACTTCCAAGGTGGCGCCACGGGTCGCATCCTTCACAACATGCACCTGGAGGATTAATGTTTTAGAGGTTAGGGTTGAATTTGGAAACAACTGGAAGGGGATGTTGGTAAGCAGGTAAAATTAAGATAACCAGTCTTTTATCATCACATATTATTACGAACATCAGTGAGTTAATGTGTAAAAGAACTGGGCAGGTTTCTTTGCTCTCTCATAATACACACACCGGGAACGAGATGTGCTATAATTTTTTAATGGCTAACCTCAAGTAAAATAAAGTGCTGAGGGCAGAGGCTAATTATGTGCCATCGCGCAATGTGCCATAATAAGACACGCAGTACCCAATGCATCTTCTGGCTCAGTGAGCATTCGCCATTACGCAGTCAGATTATGAGCTACTATTAACATTTAAAAATAGCTCCATAAGCAAAATACCTGCAAACATACTGACCTCATCAATAAGGAAGAGCCTGACTAGCTGCAGCAAACAGTTATCCTTCCATTTTCTTGTCATGCTGTCCCATTTTTCCTAAGGAAATATACATATATCACTGTATAGATGCCGAATAGTATATGCATATTGCAATATATATTAAAATAAGACATGAAATGCTATTTGTCTTTCTGCTTCCTAACATTCCCTATCTTAAATCTTTGCTGCCCTTGTGTAATTGAGATGCTGCAGAGTGTCACACACAGGTGTGGTCAGGATGATGTGAGAGTCCTGAATCTCAAAGAAGTCATCAATCTCCGTGTCACCAGTCAGCTCCTTGCAGCTCAACCCCAGAGGACCAAACTTCTTCTTCCAGTTCTCAAAACACTGACTGCAGAGAGCTTTGATAGGGGCCACTGGTGAGAACAAACAATGAGTCTTTTTTTTTTTTTTAGAAGGTCTTTGTGTCTCTGAAATACCAAAAACCTATAATTGAATCAAAAATCATGCTGGAAATTACATACATGAGCGAGTCTAAAGAAAAAATGTTCAAAGCTCCAGCGTGTAATTACAGTCAGGAGTATCATATCAAAGCACTGTTTGCCCTTGCTTGCCCTGACAGTGTGTAACAGCTCAAGCTGGGAATGAACAAAATTATTTTCGGTCAAGTCTCTTCAGACTGGGTCTGTAGTGGTATTTAACAGCTTATTCCCAATAATATTGTACGCTCACTGTATACAGCTTTGACGTCTCTCCAGGGCTCTGGTGTCTCCATTAGCAGGCGAATAATTGCCAACTCAAACAGCACTGTTTTACCAGATCCAGTCGGAGCACATGCCACAAAGTTCTTACTCGTGTAAAGAACCTGTGAACAAACCAAAGACAGATGGAGAGACACTCCCAGGCACGGATCATTTGACAGGTTGTGACAAGACGGTGAAAACTATCGCGTTATTAATACGGCTATGCATAAAGGTTTTCTAAAAATGCTTACATCATCAAGAGCTTTGGACTGCACATAATTGAAAAAGGGGAAGTCGCTGAAGACAGATCTGAACCTAACTGCTGTGAAGCATGTGTCAGGAAATCCAACCACATCACATGAAATCACATTCCAAGCGTTCAAGCACAATTCAAACAATTTGGACTTCTGTTGATTTACACGACAACACAAAGGATACGGATTTCAGAAACTGGTCGCAAAACTCCAGAACCAGAAGACCCTAAAATGTGAATAAATTAAGCAAAACATGACGTTAATTTTCTGCCACATTTTCATATAGAACTTTAAAAAGTTGTGTAGACACAACATTAAGGGGTTCTGTTGTGGCAGGACACACAAATCTTCCTTGTAGATTACAATGAGTTAAAAGGGCCTCTATTGTTTCTGTGTACAGCTTCTACTGTTCACCACCTAGTGACCAGTATGTTTTATTACAACGGAGCAGTCAATGGGGGAAGCTCACCTCATTTCACCTCATCACACCCAAACACATTGTGGCAGCTGCTGCCACGGCTAGACACGGGCATACTCATTAGCTGCAACACTTTGGAAGGTATATGTGTAGTATTTGGTAAAACAGGCCCAGACAGTGAGCACAGCGCCTGTCTGTGACTGTGTCAGTGCAGTGTAACACCTCGTATGTGGAGCGGCTGAGGCGTCATGGGTGGAACGAAAGCTCTCTTTGTGCCCTTGTCCTGTATCTCTGCATGTGGCGCCTGCTGCGGGGGTTGGCCACTCGCTGCAGATGAGCCCAGAGGAGGGGGTGAGAGAGGGGGCTTGGAGGGGAAAGGAGGAGCTGCGTGGCCAACTGTCGCCTGTGGCAGCTGAAAAGGAGGAGGCGCTGTCGTCATGGTAACCTGACTGAGAAAAGTTTGAAGTCTGGATGTTGTCTGGCTGCTGCTGCCACTGCCACTGAGGTCATCTGTGTTTGACGAGTCACCTCCACTGGTCAGCGCCTGAATCTTGAACAAGCTGTTGTGGGAGGGAGGAGGGAATAAAGAATGGAAAGCAAAGGAAGCGAGAAGGAGAGGGGAAAGACTATTGTTGCTGCAGCAATGTTGTTGTTTATCAAGAGGGCCAGACATGTAGGCCTTCGGCAACAACGTCAACACAGAGGATGGCTTCACATCTTCTCATGTTCTTCAGTCCACCTCTTCATGATTCACTGTCTAACTAAGCGTATCGTATATTGCAATATTTTGGGGGATTAAAGAGTGAATCAGCACTACATTACAAATCTGAAAAACTCAAATCGTGGGTTTTTTTTTAATAGTAAATAACATTGATCCAGTTTATTTAAATGTGCTTAAATGCTGCTCTGCATCTGCCTACAAGGATAAAAACACTTTGTTGACCGGCGTTTTTTCGGCCACATATGTTCACATATCAACCATTTGCAGTTAAAAACAGGCAGCTGTTAATGCTTTTAAGCGCAAGTTTCATTCAAATTCAAAATATGTACAAAATAGGGACAACATCTGAAAACAACGTGCACACACAATTCCACATTTCAGATTCATTTGATGTCATTAATAACTGACACTTGCCTTCTCCGTAAAGGTGGGCTTTTGCTGCAGTCCAGAGACAAACAAGTGCTGACGCCTGCACGACCAGAGTCCTGCGGGGTTTCATCTCCACCTCTGCCACTCTGACAGCCACCCCGAGAGTAATCCCTGAACCCTTCACCTCCCCAAAGGCCGTCGCATCGGATGGTGCTGCTGCTATTACCACCTTGAGTCTCTTCAGTATTTTTCTCATCATTGCTAAACCTATAAGAGCAGTTGGTTTGTATTGGTAAGACCCTATGGTCAGCTGATCCTTTATACGGAGGGTGGAATTTCTTGGGTCTTTGTGAGAAACCTGTTGAGTAATATTGAAGAGGAAGAGAGAGTTTAATAAAATGAAGTTGTTATTAGCCATAACTTGGTGCTTTTAACTGGTGTGACTATCAAAATAAAGGTGGATTCACTGCTTCAATGAGATTAAAACATCTACAGTCAGAAATTCCCTTTACAATAATTATGTGTGACTATAGCATGAGACCCAAATCCTGGTTTGTTTACGCAAGTCAAGGAAAATTGGGAAAGCTTTAAAGCCTATTCAATCCATTGTGTCAGTGAGTCACAGTTAAATTTAGCAGGGCTTCAATAGGCCAGATACTGCGCAGTTTACTCAAGTCAAGTGAAAAGGAATTCACCCTAATCCAGAGCACAACATACTGTATAGGGCAGAGAGAGACTCTGCCTCCTCCTGCATACCCTGAGTGGCTGGAATATGAGTAAGAGATGGAGGTGCTTCCAGCTGCCATGGACTGGGCTCCTGGTGCAGTGGCCTTCTGTCAAACACAATCCAGAGCGAAAGACATTAATTCAGCTGAGAGAGGACGACAAGAGAGGGATGATGTGGCACATCTCTCTGTACTTACACTTTGTGGACAACTGGTTTTTCAAAAAATAGATTGTCCAGGGACAAGGTGCAGTCGTCGGAGTCCAACATCTCATCAGATAATGCAGGCGCTCAGACATTTGAATGCAAAGCAGACCAAGTCAATCAGTCACTTTGCTCTCGATTAGGGACATCTGGCTCAAACAAAAAGAAAAAGCCAGAGATACTAACAGACACAACCAATAAATACAGCAGCAATGTATCTGAAACATAACAGAGTGGCCAAAATGTGTTTGAAGGCTAAATGAGATTAAAAGGTTATAGTTGCTAAAGGCATGGAGCATTTTTGTTTTGAAGATTTGCTTTGGTTTGCGGCAAAGACTAGCACGGGTTTATTATTTATCTCTTATGACCTCAGATGCAAAGTCAAACCTTTTAATGATGTTCACCATAATTAAACGGTTCACATTCAGACTTTATGTAGGAAACTCCTGCAGCCGTAAAAAGCAGAGGCTTTAGCATGAGGCTGTAGCTAGCCATAATGTTTCTGATTTGACTTTAGCATTTAACACATACATAATAACATACTAATAGAACAGCCAACCTGCTTAACCAAGCTTTATGAAATATGTTTGTTGCATTATATCACTGTAAAATGCTTATATTATTATTAAATTACTTATAATAATTATATTGCTGTTTTTCTTGGCTAACACAGTGAAGATAACCGGGCTTTGCTAGCTTTAGCATAGCTAACAGCTAGCTAATGACAGTCAAATAAGAAGACATTTTGACGATAAACCGCATAGCGAAGCTTTAAAAATGACATTTTCTCAGTAATTTTCATTGTATACCTACCTGCAGTAATCATTTATTTTCCTTCACATGTCTTATAACACTGTTTTAAAAGGCCAGTTTAACCCTTGACCTCTTTATGTGCGATATTTAGATCTATCAGCTCGAGCCTAAACCTCGCGTCAGTAACAACTTTATTAACACGTTTTCACTTTGACAAACAGTTCTGTACGCAGACTGACAGCTGTAGCAAAACGCTCCCATCAAAAATTAACTAGGCCGGCTATAACAGATCGCACTGTGTGATTATTTTTGTACTTTGCAGAGTGTGTGTTCAATCCAGCGTGTTTCCTCTTTAAAACACGCGACGCGGAGAATAATTGAACCGGCTAATCACCGGCCACAAAGGCAACAAAGACCTATGAGAAGACAACCGTGGGGGTATAGTGGCAACATCTCTCCTGTGCTGGCACACAATTCTTGTCTGTGCGTCACTGACAACTTTAAATAGCAAAACCAAATGTGTGCTTGAAAAAAATGCAACCCAAACAAAAGCTGAACTTTCCATTTATCTTATCAATTAAAACGGTGATTAACCGCCATCACCCTAAAAAAAAAAAATCTGCTACCCAAAGAGATGGTCATTAACTCCGCTTCTATGCCTCCTATCTGGGCTGAACCATTACAAATCTTTCGGGGGAGCATGGCGCCGACTCGCAACAATACACGGCGAAACTGTACGACGCTGTTACTGGACTAATGTTTTAACTATAGCTGTTTTACAAAATAGTTTCACATTTAAACGCAATTACTGGAGCGATAGTTTCTTCTGTTGCGGCACAGCCAACTGTATATTCGGTTACCCTTACAAAAGAAATGATCTGTCCCACACCAGACCACCACGGAAAATGGCGACTGTGAAATAGATGGAAGACGAAAGTAAGAAATTATTCAATGCAGCGTACAAATTGTGCCCTGTTTCCATCCACACCACTCGGAGGTAACGTTGGTTTGTTTTTCTTCATTTTATTGATGTCTGTAGCGTGAGTAGCGAAGAACGCTTGTCATTAGCTGTAGTTTAGCCTGAGGAATAGGTTTTGGTATGGAACAGCCTTAATGGAATGGTCTGCAGCTCCTGCAAGCAGCATCCAACAACACAGCGTGACATAAACGCCAAAGAAACGCAGAGATATACCCTCACGGAACATTAGTACAAATGGTCGGATTTGCTCTAAAAGTAGGTGCCTTTGGTAACGTGCCCCAACTATTGTGGGCCGGCATATAACTGAACTACTGTGCTGAAAGTTTTAGCTCTGTACAAAATCCACAAAAGCTCATGTAAAGCCATTTCCGAGGTCCATTCCTTCGCAGATTTGGTGCTGCTGTGTAGACGTTAGAAACACCTTGATGTGTCACAGGAGCATTCGCATGCTATGACACTTTTATTGTCCTTCAAATCCAAAACCTCTCAGTCCTTCGACCTTGTAGCATTATAAAAGGCCACAATTAATCATCTTAGCTAAGTGTCAAGTATATTTTGTAGGCAGCTTTATTTATTTTGTAGTCAGTGAATGTTGATTTAACCAAGAAGTTAACTCTGGTGGCACAGCTAAACTGATTCATGTTAGAGAAGCTCATTCAGATAACAAAGAACTACCAATTGCTCCTAAAAACGTTTAGTAATAATTGTTAATAGTCCTGTAAAAGGCTGAATATGCTCCTGTCGCTGTTCTAATTTTGATAAATATCAATGCGTGCTATAGGCCGCATGTATTGACAGTCTTAGCCATTTGCATTTGCAATTTAGACTACAACTATTGATATTTCCACCATTGATTATTCTGCCAATTATTTTCTCACTTAATCATTAAATCCCTTGGTCGCGAAAATGTCACAGAGCAGTCAGAAGTAGCCCTTGAAATTTGGTTTAACATCCAAGGAGATTTCATTTCTAACCACCAAAAAAAAAAATTTAGTTTCTCATTACACAAGACAAAGGAACGCAGCAAATTATCACGTTTAAGACGTTGAAATTGGTGTTTTGTTTTATTCTTAAGAAATGTCTCAGTCAAAACAGTTAGCTAATCCACATTAAATTTTCTGCGAGTGGACCAATTGTTTTAGCATTGTTTGCGTTTCAATGGAAACTAGAGTTTTAAAGCCGTAGTAGCACCTTCTATTGGCTGCAATGAACATCACTCCTTAAGGTCAATTCATGCTGTCCGCATCCACAAGGGTACGCCTGACGCACATTTTGTCAACCACCCAAGTCTGCGAACATCCACGTGGAAATTTGCCAAACACAGTAGGAAGTCTTAATTTCCCCTATAACTAGCTACTATATCCTGTAAAAGCAAAGTCACAAACTAAACTAGTGCAGTACCTGTTTTATAAGTTGCTTGCGCAAACTAAAATGGTGAAGGTTTTTGGGGGTAATCCATTCTTGTCTGGACATGTCCACCTTTGCCACACGTAATTGATGACATTGATTACGTCAGTGAGTCACATCAATCGTAACACAGTGACCAACTTTTGTACGATTCTCAAGAACCGCTTGTTGGAATGACTTGACCCTCCACACTGCACTTCCCTGGTTCCCCACCAATACTCCAGCTGAGTTTGAAGTAGTTTGAATAAACCGTTGTCAAGAAAAACGAAGAACAGACACACACACACACACACATGGCCCCTCTTTTACTAGTGGGACGTCGCTACCAACAGGGCTACATTGAGGCTGTAAGAACTGCATTTTTTTCTTATTTAATGCTCATTGTAGTATGTATAGCGTGGAGCAGGTTCAAGAAATTCTTCGCTATCTGACTGTTTTTTTTGTAGTCTGGGAAAACTACTTCCACTCTAAAACCTTTTAGCAAAGCCAATTGCTTCAGGTTTAAAATGATCTAGGAAAAGTAAGCTTCCTTTCTGTAACTAGGAAAATGTGCATTTTGTTACCCTGCTATATTATTTGCAAACCTTCATCTTATTGTGTGGTTTTTCCTGCACAGAGGAGTTCTGGTGTCCCGTAAAGGTTTTAGCCAGCACCAAAGGAAAATCCCCAGTGTCAAATTGATGAGCACTATAAAATTCGCAATTCAAATCTTTCTGAATGCGTTAAATGTAGTTTTATCGGATAACTGTTAAACAATTGGAAAATACTTTTAAACACAACATCTTTGATTTCCAGCAGTCAACTGCCCTCTTATTCTTAGGCGCTATGCTTTACATTTGCGAAGGACACTGGATAACCTAGCTACGCTGCATTGTTTTGTTTGAATGCTCCGCTGTGAAATTAGCATTAAGGGTACCTTGGTGTTACTGTCTCAAGTCAGGCTGTACCAGATTCTCCAAGTGGTTTTAACAGTAGAATCAAATACCCGTTCTACCATCCAGAATCAGGCTATGCAGCCCCTTGGACTGTTAAGCCTGTTAAGGCAGATTCATGGTCTGTGTTTATGTGCGCGGGTCGATAAGTGGACTGCGGACGCGCAGTCTGTTTATACTTCAGTAGAGCTGCATCTGTCTACTACACGGCTGGTGGCATTTCCCCAGAAAAACACACAAAGAAAAAGCAGCTGCTTAAAGATTGGGCTGTAGCACTTATCAGTGATCATTCCTGAGGTGTGCCGTGCACACTGAACATAGCGAAGGGTTTCGGGAGAAATGAGAACATCCTACTGTGATTGGGCTCCATCGATAAAAGCAGGTACAAACAAAGTTCCTCCGTCCAGCAGCGAGTAAATAAGAATTTAAATAGAACTCTTTCAGTAATTAATCAAAAGGTGTAGATGACAAAGAATTTCCTCAGATAGTCTCTCCTCATACCAAATATTGGTTTTAAGGACGGCTTGTTTTCTTGGCACATGTGCAGTGAGTGTGCTTGTAGTGCGGACTGTCCACACGGTCACAAAATTTGGGTGCCACGTGGACGGACCCTTGCAGACTTGGGTGGATGGCGACATTTACTTCCCACATACCCTTGCAAACATGGACACATATGTGGAAAGCATGAACTGGCCTTGAGCCACCTCCTCCGGAATCGCCACAAAGCTTGTCAGTAAAGTAGGTTGGTTCCACTGGTTTGTTGTCCACCAGCACGAGCAACAAGAAAATGCATAGATTTCAGTCAAATTAAGTAACACAGACTCATTGCCTTCACTGTAGGTGGCCTGGTCAATTTTACTGTTGTTCTTAGTCACCTGCCAAAGGCCCATTTTGATCCAGCAAAAAACTTGCACTATGATTGTAAAGGGAAAACAAAATGAATTAAAAATTCATGACATCCATATAGTGTTGTATTGGTGCTACAACAAATGGTAAATGCTAAGCCAAAATATGA